CTGGGAGTGGTAGCAGAAAAGGTCCTCTACAAGGTTTCAGTTAATCTGCAATAGATTCCTCCCAGATGACTAGGGTGCGGGTGGATTATATGGAAGTAGGTGATCCCTTAAGCAGGTTGGACCCAAGCCATGTAAGGTTTTAAAGGTGATAACCAACACCTTGTATGGCACCTGGAAACCAATAGGCAGCCAGTGAAGTGATTTCAAAAATTGATGTTATATGGTCACTCCTAGATTTTCCGGTGACCAACCTGGCTGCCATGTTAATCTTCCAAAAGTGGCTTGGATGAGAATATGCTACTTTGTGGCCTACATGTGTGGTAATGCATTCAGCCACTTTGTGATTTACCTATTCAGAATTCTTTGCCTTGCTTTCACAGGGGCTGTGTGGACATGGAATTGCTTCAGATCTCTCTGTGCTGGCTCCCTTTTTTGAACTTCTTCCATGTACCTCCTTCCAAATTAAATGAGGCAAGTTTTACAAGAGAAAGGGCCTTTTCAGTGCTAGTTCCTCTTTATTCGAATGTCACCCTCAAAAATCTCACCTGCCATTACGTTATGGTCATCTTAATGACACATGAAGGATCTTTTTTTTAATCCTCCCAGGCATTTTAAGAACAGTCTTTAGTGAATTTAGAGCTTATCACTCTCCTGTCTTACTCCTAGTTTTATTTTGATGTCACAGGAATCCTCCCAGGCATTTTAAAAAACTTTTATCCTCCCAAACATTTTAAGAACAGTCTTTAGATCTTACTAATCTCCTGTCTTGCTCCTAGTTTTATTTGCTGCAGTGTTTTTGCTGCTTGTGCTAAGGGTGCAATCTGTAGTTGTTCGTCTATTGTTTGCATTTTATATTTTTAATGTACTGTACACTTCCCAGAGAATTCTGGTTCTAAAGATTGCCTAATGTCCAACTAAAGTATTCAGGATAAGTTTAACTAAAATACAGGAAGAGAGAGAATAGGCTGCCCCCAACCCCATGTGTAGAGTGACATTCTGGAGACTTTTTGGGGTTCTGGATTGCCTGGAAAGCCTCTATATACAACAGAAGCTCTCTGTTTCAGATTGTTGCTTTCCATGTGAAGAGACAATCGATGGCAGTAAGGCTACCCGGCTCTCTCTGCTCACACATTCAGGTTAGCCCTATCCGGAAGACCTGAATAGGGCTATTAAGTCCCTCAATCAAAGAATCAATAAGTTCTCTTTAATATGTGTGATTCCAAATGGAGCAGTGGATTCCAAATGGAGCAGTGGAAAAATCCAATGGGGGACAGTGAGGGAAAAGGGGGTGATAGGGAGGTCTTCAGTCTAAGTATTGGTTTTCAAGAAAGACAAGGAACCAGTGATCCATGATGGCAATGAGGAGTTTGAGCACATGGTGGTGGGGAAGAAGCAATGGCAAAAAAGAATGGCCACGTTTGGGACCCTGCTTAAGGTTTGTGAGTTCTTCTGGGATTTGGCTGGCCAACTGGAGCTATGCCACTGCTCCTACTTTCTTTCACCAGGGAGGCTGAGAGAAGAGGAAGCAGAAGAAACACTGGTACCTGGGGTTGATCCTTCAAAAGAGTCCTTCACCTTTCTCACTTCTCTCAGATTGTGAGTCCTTCCTCACAGCTGTTCCCTCCTCCACCCTGGCATAAAAGGATTGTGAGTCTTTCCTTTCTTGGGAGAAGTTTGCACCCTGTCACCTTGGGAGCAGCAACCGAGCAGCCAGTCAAGCAGCAAACAAGAAGTCTCTCACCCTCACCAGCCTTTGCTGCAAGGCTGGCACAGGCAAAACGCTTCTCGGTCATTGCTCAGTCAGCTGCTCAGTTGCTGTTCCCAAGGTGAAGCGGTGATCAAGATTGGTTGTTTTGAATTTGCAGTAGAACAGTAGAACTAATATCAAGAAATAGGCATGGGGGAGACCCAAAAGGAAAAGGGACAGTAGCCCATAAATGTTTGATAACCACTGGCCTAGTCTAACATCAAAAAAGAAGTTCTGTATCATCTTGTAGCATACAAAAGTCTGCCCTTTCAGCAGATAACTGAATAACAGAGTCCATATATTCATTGGGGAGTTACCAAATGTAGAGAAATCAAGTATAATTAATTGTCAGACCAGCATGAGGGGAGCCACCAACCCTTCCTTCACACCAAGCCAAGGTGTGAATTGGCTTTTAGTGTTAGGTCACTTGAAGTCTGAAGATGAAAAGTATAAATGCTGCCAGGCCAAAGAATGCTTAAAGGGGAATTGCAAATCTCCACTCTGTGCTTCTTCTAGCTTCTGAAGGGTGTCAGCTTAGACATTTTTTCTTCATCACATATGAATTTGCCTGTGCCTATTTTTGTATTCTGTAACTGAGTCAAAGAAAAGTCTTTAATTCCTAACACTTTGATTCACCTCTATAAACTAAGCCTTGTTGTAGGTGACTTGAGTCTCCATGTGAGCTACCTATTATTAGAACACATTTAAACTTCCATCAGATGAAAACTCTCCCTTTGTGTCTGTGTGAATACATATATATATATATATATATATATATATATATTCTGTATCCTAGCAGAAAACTGCCACATGACCACCTGTCCTCAAGAATGTTTGGCACAAGTCCCACATCTCCACTGAACTTTGTTTTTCTAGATGAGAATGATATCAGCCTACAAAAGTATTGCTGACACTTCTGACTTGAAATACAAAATCTCATTAATCTATCAGCTGCATCAGTTTGGGCTCAAAGAAAAATTAAATTGCTCAAAATCAAGACAAACATAAGAGGTTATCTTGTGTTATCTTATAGCATATCTCTTATTCATTTCTAAGACTTATTCCCACAGTCCTCATACATTGGGCAACCTATAAGGGCATGACATTTTATTACTTGAGGTGAAGATCAAGATCGTGCCCCTGTCCAGTCCATGTAGAAATGTTGAATGGAGTAACAACTGAATTCTATTTCAACATGAGCAACAACATGCTCCACCACATGTAAGGCAACCAGTTAATTTAGGAAGGTCAGGACAGGTTATATGGCATACAAAGCTTTGTTCTCCAGCATAGAAAAACAGCCAAAAAGTTTATGAGGTACAACTGGGAGGCTGTCACTGATGTTAACTGCTATGTAAGGTGATCACCTCACTCTGCCTAAGGGTTAGAAATGAGAAGTTGAAGGCTTTCACAGCTGACATCCATAGTTTTTTTGTGGATTTTTCGGGCTATGTGGCCATATTCTGGAAGAATTTTTCCTGACATCCAACCCTGGATGATGTTCATTTGCATGAGTTGAGTCTTGATTTTGGTGTTTTTTCCCAGGACTGGTAGCCAAACTTTGTTTACTTTTAGGGTTTCCACTTTCCTGTTGAAGTTGTCCAGGTGTTTGTGGATTTCAATGGCCTCCCTGTGCATTTTGACCTGATAGTCATTGGCATGATCCAGAATTTTGGTATTTTCAAATAGCATTTTAAACCCAGGTTGGTTTATAACATGTTCTGAAAAATACCAAAATCAAGCACATGCAAATGAACATCACACAGGGTCAGGGGTTTCCCCCACAGACAATGAATTGCTAATTAAATAGACACACATATCCCTCTTGCATATCCCCCCACCTGAGGCCTTGCCATCAACAACAGACCAATACACAGATTAACATGTAAATCACTTCCTCCCAGCCAAGAGCCACACAGTATATATATACCTCACTCACTTCCATGCTACCACCCTCTGAAGATGCCAGCCCAGATGCAGGTGAAACATCAGGAATAAATTCTTCCAGAACACAGCTACACAGCCTAAAAAAAACCCACCAAAAAAAACCTACAGTTGGAAATGACTTGTATGACAGATAGCAGAGCATGAAGAGAGTTGGTCTTGGTGGCAGCCTCAGTGGTGGAGTCCAGTCCCCAAAAACGTATCCATACCTCCCTTCATTAGCTCACTAGAACTCTAAGATCTTCTAGAGAGGCTCTTCTGTCTGTCCCACCATCTTCTCAGGCTTGTTTGATGAGTACAAGGGGAAAAGCTTCTCCCAGTCTTTGGAACTCCTCCCTGGGAAGATCAAGGGCCAGTCTACACAATGAAATTATCATGTCAGAATGCAAATAGAATGTGATCCAATCATACATGATTGAAACATGCTCAAGCAATGGTAGAGGAGTTCTCAAACTCCCCCCCCCAAAAAAAAAAGAATTGCAGTTTTTACCATAGTATACTATGGTATGTATGAAAGCAAGAGCTGGACAATTAAGAAATGGACAAAAAGAAAATAAATAAAATAAATTTATTTGAGTTGTGGTGCTGGAGAAGAGTGCTGACGATACCATGGACAGCAAAAAGAACAAATAGGTAGAGCAGCTCAAACCTGAAATTTCCCTGGAGGCAAAGATGACTAAACTAAAGCTGTCATACTTTGGTGACATCATGAGAAAACATGATTCATTAGAAAAGACAGTAATGTTGGGGAAAATGGAAGGAATTAGGAAGAGAGGAAGACCACATGCTGG